ATAGAAAAACAATTTAAAGAAGGTCAACAACAATTTTTAAATTAATAAAAACAATTAAAAGACAATATAAAAACACGTTTTTAAAATGTATTTATTTTTGTATGCATATAATAAATGTATATAATATTATTATATTAATTTAACAGGCAAACAAATAAAAGAATCAAATATTTGTTTTAAACAACTTAAATAAGAAATAATGCAACAAGTGTGTCAAATAAATGTAACGTATTTGTTTGAATCAAAGGATATTATTAATATCAGATTGTATATTCGATAAATTATAATAAAAGTTAAATAATGTAATATATTAATGTTAAATAATTTGTGTAAAATAATCATTATTATTATTTATATAACAAGTACGCCCAATAAACAAGTACGCCCATTTAACTCAGATCTTTTGAAAGGTTTTACTAATAAAAAATTCCAAAAAATCACATTTAAAAAATGAAAATAATAATGGCTTTTTATGAACAATTCAGTATGATTATTGACTTATTTGAAAAATAGTTCAACTTAAATTTAATTTTTTGAATTATTTATAAAACATTTTATCATTCATAAACTCAAATTAATTGGTTTCGTTATAGATTTGTATTTAAATAAATAAAATATATAATTTAAAAAATTAATAATAGTAATATAAATAATATGATAAAAACATTTTTCATAAACAAATAAAATGTTAATAAAAATAGATTAAATAATATTATCAGATATTCATTTCAAAAAAACAAAATAAAAAACTCTTAACAAGTTAAAGTTTTTTGTGTTTTTTTTTATTAATTTTATACTTAAAAGACAAATTTGACTTTTGTTTTCGTGATATGTATATAGTTTTAACAATTTTATTGTTTAATTAAAAAATAATTTATATGTAAATTGTTTATATTAAAAAACAAAAATATACTAATTTTCTTCAAATATCATTTTTTAATAATAAACTATTTTTCGAAACTCTGCATCGTTTCCAAAATTTATTAAAACCCTTTGTTTCAATTTCTTATTATTTGCTGTTTTTTTATTTGTTTTATTTTTAATTTATAGTATTATGTATAGTTTGGAACCTACATTGACAACCACTTTTACCCACAAAAAAATTATCGCTGAAGTTTTTTTTTAAGAAAATTTACATTTCAGCTACAGTTTATGCGTCCCCATGTCACCCACTTTCCTTGTCAGTACTGTGTGGAATGCTCGATATTTACTAACTCGGGGTGTTTTTTGGCATTTTTTAAATTCTGGAACCAGACCAAATATTTACTAATATTACCATTTACTATAAATATAAGTTGCATATTACAGTGGCAATATTTAAGTACTTAATTTGGAATTAACCCACTTAAGTGAGTAAATTTTGGTTTTATTTTTGGAAATAACAAAAATCTAAAAAAACTGAAATTATGTTATAAGACATAAACATTTTAATAATAACAAATTATTTTTTATTAAAAATAACATTTTAATAACATTTTTATAACAAAAAAAATAAAAAAAAGAAAAAAACAATTAATTTAAATTTATTTCATGACATTTGTAAAACTTGGGCTATATGTTGACTTGTTCTGGTAAAGACTTTATGATTTTTCAAGTCCTTTTCAAGTTTAAACACTGTTTTTTTGCTTTGAGTGGAAAACTTGTCGAATCCAGAATTCATTTAGTATTTGACCAAAAAGTGTATGATTTTTACATTTTTGTGTAAAAAACCACATTTTACGATTTACACAAAATGTAATTTATTTTTTGATCCAATTGTTTTTTTTTAAACGGTTTTCAACAAAAGATCAAAAGTTTAATTTAAAAATACCGACTTTGAAGTTTAAAAAATTAAAAAAATCAATTCGATCTCAACCCAAAAAATTTATTTCTTCGTATTATCCCGTTTTTTCTCTTATTGTTCCTTAAATGTTATTTTTTGTTTTTGTTATTGTTTGAATTCTCGTCTTTATTTATTCATTTGTTATGTTTTTTTATCTTTTTATCATTTTCTTTTGAATCTAAACAACAACTGTTATGAAATATTATTTAAATGTTATTTGTTCAAAAACAATCATTGAAATAATGTGCACAAAAAGACCACCAATTCAATCCGGCTTTTATTTTCAAGCTAGTCCATTGTGCTCTTACTTGTTTTTTTTCACTTTTTGAACCTTTTTGAGCTTCTTTTTGTTAAAAGAAAATACTTTTCAAAACGAATTATGTAAAAAACAAAAGCTATATTTTAAGTTTATTTTAATTAAAATAAAAAACCATTTCAAATATTTTTTTTCTTTTCAAGCAAAATTGACTTTTTTTCAAAAAACAAAGAAAAGACCCAATCAAACCCATTTTCCTATTTATAAAGGGTGGTACTTTAGTTTTTTTTTCTATTTTGGCTTAAAGTTCAACCAAAGTTTCACAAAATTTACTCACTTAAGTGGGTTTATTCCACTACTGTATATCAAAAGTAAAAATGGTCTATTTTTAGAAGTGGTGTTGGAACAAGCCTTACCTGTTTAATGATGTGATTTGGTCTTTATTATTATATTTTATAATTAAGTGTTTTTTTTGTAATAGGTTGTAGACATTTCAATAAATAATTGATCTGACTTTTCCATTGAACTGTGACTTGTTTCTGAAAGGATCAAGCAAAAAAGTGAACCTTTGTTCATCCCAACTTCAACAACAAATTTTTATTTTTACTATAATATATAACAATTTACCATAAAAATTTACTAAAGCCTTCGTTCCAGGGTGTCTAGCTTAAAAAAATTAAAGAAAAAAGTTTACATTTACATTTTATTTGACTAAGATTTTTATTTTTTTTACAAATTTTGATTTTTCCCGTCTTCGAAGGGTTAAATAATAAATTATTAAATTATTAAATTATTAAATTATTAAATTATTAAATTATTAAATTATTAAATTATTAAATTATTAAATTATTAAATTATTAAATTATTAAATTATTAAATTATTAAATTATTAAATTATTAAATTATTAAATTATTAAATTATTAAATTATTAAATTATTAAATTATTGTGAATAAACAACAAAATATTTTCTCGTTGTCATTGTCAAGTCAAGATTCAAACATCAATTGAAAACAAAAACTAAAAATAAGCAAATAAAATGTCGACTAACTTAGAAGAGTTCTTTTTAATAAATGTTGTGTTATACATAAACACATTGGATTCACTTGCAATTTTTGTTTGTGTGAATAAAAAGTGTCAATCTGTTATGAACAAAATGCAGAGAAACTCTTATTTAAGTGACAAATTTCCATTTGACACAAAAGAAAATCCCACCAGAAATTTGCTTTGTTATTTTTCACGAATTTCTAAATTATTTCCTCAAGCAAAAACACTTTATCTTCCTTCGTACGTCTGTCTCATCCCACAGTTGTTAAATTTTAATTTTTCATATTTTGAAGTAAAAGCTTTTAACGACAGTACAATTATTCTAAATAGTGTCGGATATGGAGACAAGGCAATCATTCGAGATTACTGTTTTATCGACTTTGAGAATTTTAGAAAAACTTCTTACTTTTGTAAACTTCCAGTAGACATCATTAAAAGACTCAAAACGGTGACTGTCTATTCATTTGAAACGGCAAGTTTTTTCTTTGAAAATGTTCATTTATTCGAATCGTGTTGTTAAATTACAATATGCACAGATTTTACAGAAAAAGGTGATGAAATAACAATATGGAATAATTCGGTGAACAACAGGTGTGTGTTGTGGATTTTAAAAAAGCTTCAAAAAGTTCGTATTTTTGTTAAAGAATTAAACACATTTCAACACATCCAGAAATTTATACAAGAAGCACCAACACTCAATATTTGTATTTACATACAAAGCATTGATATTCTTATCGAACAAGAAAAAGAACAAATACAAACCAATTTTGATATTATAAAACACTTCATGAAAGTTGGAAACGTTATATTTCGCACTATAAAAAACACGAATGTATTTATTAATAATAATGTGTTTTCTACTATTTCTGTATCATATGCTAACATTCCAAAAACAATTGAAATTGACGAGCAATCAATATCTCAAATTGAGTTGTTGAGTAAACTCTACGCATTTGTATTTGATCAAGTGATTTTAACTATCAATGAAAATGAACTTATAGACATATCACAAATTCCATGCATAAAGTTGGTTATAAGCAGTAACATTCAATTCATAACAATAAAAATATCACCATAAACAAGCATTGTTGAGTGCAACAAAGATGATGTAGTTGCACTTCACTGTACACAAAATGTGACAATTTTATTGCAACAATATTTTGAGCCCAAATTTTTGGATGTTGCCGACAGCAATAGTATTTATTTTAATGAACAAAGTATTAATGAAGATGATGAGTACTGGAAAAATGCCAATATTAATATGGAAGAATATGATCAATTTTTCAAACATGTTTCTGATCAAATTGAAATATTGGTATTTAGAAAAAACCCAATGATAATTACACATCGTTTTGAAGTTACACAGACCCCTTCATTTGTTTCACAGAAAATCAAATTATATGAGTCTTTAGAAATGGCTTATTGCCCACAAAAAGACGATGAATATATATTAAGACATGATTTGCAGACACTGTACTGTTGCTCCACATATTTGACTTCACTTAAAATCGAGAAAATCCACGGAAAAAGTCTGATTAACATGAAGTCGGTCTATTTGGGTCAATTTCCACTGAAAGATTTGCAATTGACAGACTGCCAAAATTGTATTTTTCAACTTCCAAGCACTTTGACTGGGCTTTCTATTTTTGAAACATGGAACAACAATTATTACTACGGAACAGAAAATGTCTATCTCAAGTCTCTGTGTTTGGCAATGATTAGCAATTATCCAGAAAACTTGAAACGGTATAATATACCCAAAAACGTATATGTAGACTATACAGTTCAATACGATTATATCAAAGAATGTGCAAATAATAGTTATTACAAAAATGTGTTGCTGAATGCTTTTGTGTACAAATAAATTCGCGTTGGAATGTGTCCATACGAATACGAAACATACAAAAATACAAAGACGTGGAATGAAGAATTTAATAAATGTGAAAAGGATATAAACAATATTAATATTAATAATAATAACTATTACATTCAAGAAAACGCCGTTTTTGTTCTTGACAATCGAGCAGTTCAAGGAAATTCACATTTCAATTTCAGTGCAATGGGTGGAATAAAAGAAATTGGCGACTTTTGCTTTAAAAACTACTCTTCTGCGTCATTAAAAGAGTTGGTACTTCCTTGTGGATTGACCAAATTGGGTTTTGGTGCTTTTGAAAATGCTACTACCCTTACTGCCGTTCATCTAAATAAAAGTATAACAAAACTTCCTTATAAATGTTTCGCTGGTGATATTAATTTGAAAGAAATCATATCGCCATTTGCAACAATTGAAGTTGAAGACGGTGCACTGTGCATGTGTGAACGTCTTGTGAGTCACCCTAAATTTATGTACGCAAAATATGTTGCTTATGAAGACAATTGCACATCAAAATTTTGCAAAATACAAAATGTAACAATTCCAACAAGTGTAAACAAAATCAAAAATCGGTGTTTTAAACAATTAACATCGCTTGAGTGTGTTAAAGTAATGAATGCAACGTGTTTCATTGGTAAACTATGTTTTGTGGGATGCAGTAACATCAAAAGCATTTGTTTGGATAAAAGTGTGGTGTTCGACAAACACCTTGTATTCGCTAATTTGTCATCACTCACTGCAATTGCACTTCCAACAACACTCACAAAAGTGAGAAATTTTATGTTTAAAAATTGTGTAAAATTGGAAGACGTCACTATGCAAGATCAAATTGTAAAAATAGGCGACTCGGCTTTTCAAAATTGTAAATGTCTTAAGACAGCCAATATCCCACACAATGTGATAAAAATTGGATATTCATGTTTTAAAGGATGCAGTTCTTTAAAAGAGATATATTGTACGAGTTCACTGCATTTTCCTGTTTCTAGTTTATATGGTGTAGATGCAATTATAAAAATCAATTGATTTTTTTTGGTTATAATATTTATTTTTACATAAACTTGTTAAACAACATGTTTATTTAAAATTAACTCTTTTGTTAATTTAATTTTTATGTTGTTTAAAATTATATAAAAATTGTAACAAACTAAGTTGAACCTCTTAAAAGCGGGCGTTTTTAGCCAATCAAACTTTAAAACCCGCTCAATAGAAAACTCTGTTTTTAATTTATGTTTTAAAAATGCCCATTCTTGAAAACCCCGCTCTTCAGAGGTACCGCTTTTGGAAGGTTTTGCTGTATATTTAAATGTGTGTCGAACTATTATTTATTTAATAAAACATAAATTTAGTGAAAAAAGATGCATTTATATGAAAAGAAATGTTGAATTTGTACACATAACACGTGTAAGTTGCAACTAAAATTGATCTTGGTTGATTATATACCATAAATCAAAAACTGGAGCCTTTACAGACCAAAGAAAAATGGGCTTCGTGTTTTTTATTATTGATTAGGAGAAGAAAAAGTTATGAAAATATTTCCAAAAATATGCTCAACTTATGAGTGGGCCATTATTTTTTCTGTTTTTTAATCAGACCAATTTTAGGCCCACATTTTTTTGTTTCAACTAATCAAAAGTTTGTTTGAAGTTATTTATTATTTGCCATAAAAGTATAATCTTAATAAAAAAAATAAAGCAAAACAATTAAAACGAAATCAAAAATTCTAAAAATATTTATCAAACTAAAGGTTGACATAAAATTAATTTACCATGAAATTTTACATTTTGGTATAAAAGTATAAATTTTACCTCAATGGATCTTTTAAATCCAGCCGTTTTTTCTGCACCTTTTTTCAACTGATACATTTTTGGTTTTTTATTTAGTCTATAAACTAATAATAAAATCAACAATTTATTTTGTCATTTAATGTTTTTTGAAAAGCAAAAAAGATTGTTGTGTATAATTATTAAATCATGTAACAAACAACAATAAATTTGTAAAATACACAGTAGTTAATATACAGTTGACCGAGTAATTATCAGAGACCAAATAATTGTAAGAAGGGTGTATTTCCTATTGATTACCTTGAAGATAACAGGTTTAAAAAAAGAAAAAAAGGTACACCAAAAAATGCTAAGAAACTAAAATCTATTTTATAATAGTTCTTATCTGAAGTTTAAAAACTATTAATTTCACTTCTTACAATTATTTGGTCTCTGATTATTTTTAATTCAACTACAGGGAGGATAAAAACCCGCTTCCGTCTTTTTAACCGCTTCCTATCGATTTAATAGTTATAAATAATAACATTATAATAAAAAGTATGATACTAATT